TTTTAGGTGTGATATAAATTAGGCTTTATGTGTGATTGAATTCATATTTTATTTAGACACATGTTATAATGCAATAAAAGAAATATATTAATTATTATACACAATAATTCAATTTTTTGACGGACAAAGTTGACGTGAAGTTGCTAGAAAGATAAAATTGCTGAAAATAAAAACTATAAGAATGATTTTGCAATTAAGTTAAAATATAAGGGATGAAAACAAAATTTTCTCTCTAATATACAGTTCAGTGTGCGGCAAAATCAAAGATTTTTTGTTTTATTATTTAATTATTTTATATTAAAGATGAAAATATCCTTATGTTGGCTGGAAAATTTTTCAAAGCTTACCGGAAGGATGAAATTATAGAAATGAGAAATTAGAGGGATGATTTTGCAATTGTGGTTAAAGGTGAGAGATGAAAACAAATTTTTCCCCGTAAAAGGCGGATGCCTCTTGAGCGTTGGCAGTCGTTTTCGCCACTTTATCTAGCTATCCTTCAGAAAATGACAGCCCACATTCATGGACATGTTTAATATTGCCCTAACGAAAGCCCAAAACAAGATAAAGTGGGGCCCAATAAATAAAATAAACAGCACAGAATTATAATAATATAAAGAGAGTAAATGCACTTGGCTCCTTTTCCGAGTTAACCCAATCTCAACCAGAAAGAGAACTACCCCTGTACCACGCATGCCCGAACAGGATACCTTATTATGGGGGGAAGCACTTAATCAACCACTTACATACAGAATCTGACATTCAAACATCCATTAGGTTTGTAAACGTTCAGAAACCCCAAGCTGGGGAGAAATAAACAAGGAGCCACATGGTGGACTTCTTTTAGGCTGCTTCTGCAAATCCAACTCTAAGATTGCCATAGTCAAAGACGGTGTGGTAGCGTCCCATGAAGACATCGCCCAAGATCCTATATTAAATAATTATCATTGGTGTTAGATTAGTGAATTTATAAACAAGGGGAAACAACTGTGACATACTTAGGGGCCCTGGATTTCCAGGATTGCTTGGTTTCCCGCTTAAAGGCCCCGGCTTTTACTCTAGATGTCCTTGCTATTTAGGCTTTTCATGGGATTTTTGTATTAAAAATCCTGATTCTTTCTATACAAACCAAAAATTCACGGCTAAAATTCCTATTTCTTGCAAAGAAACCAAACATCTTACTCTTAGGGCCTTTTATACTTCAAGAATAAATAATGCCCTATATAAAAAGTCCAGATATCAAAGAGTTGAAGAGGAGGAATGTAATACCAAGTGATCCAACACCAGGGGAACATAAATGAAGGTACTGGTGCACTGGGCCGAGGTACCCTCACCCACCTTGTATATGTATGATCAAACAACAAATCAACAAGAGTTGTTTAGTGCAACTAGTAAATTGCAAGTACGAATTAAAAGAGGTGCAATATCCACCAAGAAATTAGGCCATTTTATGGAAGCCTCAAATTCAAGGTCTAAATTTAAGACATCACTACAGCTATTACCATCTGCATTAGTCCGTAAAAGCAGTACTTTCACTGCGAAAAGGTGCAATTCATAGCACCTTGCAGCACTACGGTAAAATGGCTAGCAATTGCTAGAATAGTCAATTCAAGCAGAAGGGGAGGCAGAAAATGAGCAACTACTTACACAACCTGGGGTATCACCCATCTATCTAATTTACCTCAGGAAAAAGGCTAAAAACAGTAGGGACTTGGAGAATTTTTACATTATTTCCATAAAAGAGCATTTGAAATGGCTGATTATAATTGCCATAACAGAGCCATCTAAAACTTTGTGCGATGCAGTTAAGTAGAATTCCAATAAATGCATCACAAGTGTGCCACATCAAAGAGTTAAACGGGTGGGACCCAGTACATAATCCTATACATATAAGTGGAAAATGCGTCTATCTGGAGAATTATCACCTGTATCCAATATCTATGTTTTCTAATTGCCATAGTTAGGAAATGGAAGAGTGTCATTCCATAACCCACTTTTGGTGGATTACATGTACCCTTTTTTAGTATTGGTTTCTTTGCACCTAAGGTCATAGTATAGATATCCTGTGCTCTTCTGAAATGTGAATATCATTCCATTGTCTCCCAAGGACAGAAAATAAGATAAAAATCATAAATGCTAGACCAAACTAGAATTAATTCACCGCAGAGGAAGGCATCATATCCATGAATCTAGTTAAATGCAGCTATGAACCAAACAAGACAGTGAATTCCTACATTCCTTTTCCAAGTGAAGGCCTCAAAAAAATGTGATCAATATAAGGTATCTTAAAATCAGCAAATTAAGCAAATTATCATGCATAAAAATATATTCCGTGATGCATGCTGTTAATGTAACTCAACAGAATCGGACTCATATTCTGAATTTGGCATGTAAACAAGACTAACAGCTGTCTGACAATAACTAAAATGGCTCGGTGTCAGATGAAATTTAATAGCAACAGCAGTCATGCATATAAACCAAGTATTATAGCTTAATAGTGGAACAAGTACCTACCTCCTTTGGTGAGAGGTCAAAAACTTTCCCACCAATAGTAAAGGAAACAGTGGCATTGAAGAAATGCTAGCACAATCGACAACTGATACTCCACAGGGCTAGGGAGTCGATCACAAAGCTGTGAAGTATATTGCACATTTATGTTAACATTAAAAGCAATCAAATGAATCAAAAAAAGAATGAAAAGGAAAAAAAAAAAAAAGCAGAAAAAATGTCCACCCCATTGACATAGTTCAGTGTACGATCTTCTGTCTGGTTCTGTCTAAGCTGATTTTGCATCCCGCAACTGCCTTTTTACAAGTGCTGCACATAGCGTCACGACGACCAGCTGAATTTCCACCATTCTGGCCATCAACCACACTCCCATTGCCCATCCTGTTAAGAACACATTCAAAGTATTAAAACCGAAAGTTGCAATATACCCTAACCGCATCAGTAATAATATCAGTATGATACTGCTTGCCTCCATGCAGCATGCTGTTCAGAATAGTTAATTCAATTAAGTTTATTGAGTGAACAGACAACCAAAATATTACAACAGAGTAGCTCAAACCTGACACCATGGGTTCCGTCAAAGGTGCACAATCCAATTTTTGGGCATATCTTCTTTGGTTGAGACTGTTAAAAACAATAGAGACAAGAAATCAGTAATGTAAATATATGGAAGGTGTAGCAAGGGTCAAGAAAGATCACGCCATGGTTATGCCAAACCCAGTTTTGAAGTAATGCAGACCCGCAAAGCAACTAAGAAGTTTATTAGTCTACAACCAGCACCCTTCCGCGAATCCTCCCCCCCCACCCCCCCCCCCCCCCCCCACAGGTGAGGTCAACCCATCTGAAGAGCAACTTTGGCTATGGATTTACCCACAACAAAAAAAAAAAAGGGAAAGCATTAATATTAATGAACACCAAGATTTACCTGTGCCAAAAGCAAATCCATTATTTGTTGCCCATACTGTTGAACAACTGCCTTGCATTCCTGACTGACAACTCCAGAGGCTCCAATAGCATGATTTATCCCATCGATTGCAGTCTGCATATATAAGGGTACATAAATGTGTGTGTGTGTGTGAGAGAGATTAATGTAAGCCAAGGCACGCAATGGCCTTGACGTCTATACAAAGCCCCTTCAATGATAATCAATAAACCCGAAAACACAAGAAAATGAGGATTTTTGAATTCACCTGCCGGCTTCGACAGCTCCCTCTCACATGATTGTGTGAGTGCTTATGAGAGGGAGGCAGATGATTATGCCAAATCATTACAAACATAACATCTTCAAGAACAACAGGAACAAGAATAACAAAAACATATATTGGTCTTCGTTCTATCATCTTTACTGTGAAAATTTTACACAATCCCAAGAGTCCCTTCACAGAATGTTTCGATTACCATCATGCAAATGGAACTGGATAGTAAACAGGAAGCTTGATGTGTAGGAACATAAAGACACCTTTGCTGCTTACCTTCAGACAAACTAAGCATGTGCTACCAACACAACCAAAAGTAGACAGACTAATGGGGGATCAGACGCACCCCAGCACAAACAGAAAATTGATATTCTAGAAGTATTTTACAGACAACTAGAAACTACAACTTAGCACCTATACATACCTTTGGACCAGCTAAAAAAGAAGTTCCAGAATCCGCAATGGCAGAACAACCAGAGCCACAATAACCTGAGAAGGAAAAAAACACAAGATGTGTTCGACTAAATTACAGGGGCCAGGACTTAATCATCATAAAGGCAATATGTTTACCCAGCTTATTCATATTTCTTGTTTATAAAAATAAATAAATAACTTGTAATAGTCAATGAAAAAGTGCATACCAGTTGGTTTACCACCAACAAGAACGTCGCCAATATCGAACTAGAAATAGGGTAACAAACAAAACAAAAGAAATTTACACATCAAAATTAAATCAAATCAACAACAGAAGAATTATATATGGATGCCAACCTGCCAATAACCTTTCTGTGTAACTGGGACATATGTGTGTGTACCCTTGTAGTGATTTGGATCAACCCCACCGAAGACAATTTCACCACCCTCTTCTTCCTTCTCGTTTCTGTTAAGCCAAAAATGAGAATACCTGCTCCTTTACAAGATCTTGTTTGACCATGTTGTACCTGCAACATATGCAATAGCTCTTCTCAAAAATGTTCTCTAATGGGGTAAAAAAGAATTTAAATCTTCAAAAAAATGGCACACAAGCTGGTAACCAGTGTTTAAAAACAATATTAGTTTTTGATTCCACAGAAACATGTAAGCAAGTTAAATACAAAATAAACAATGGAATTTAGGGGGAAAAAGTATAATCAAAGATGACTGGGCATACCACACAGGGACAGCACTCCAACTGAGATCTCTTGGAACGCCAGTCCAAGAACACATCAAACTCGTCATTTGTGAGACTCTGCACCCTGGTTGCCTCGGTAAATTCCTGAGACAAATAGTTATAAGCAAGTGAATTAACACATCCAACTGACCAGAAGTGAAGAAAGCTGATTTCAATTACCTGATTCTTCACAACTAGGCCACCAACTCTGACATGATCCTCACTGAAAAATCCAGAAACGTTAAAAGATCCGTAGTCAAGTTCAGCAGACTTTCCTGCACAGCATAGTAACGTAGAAATTCTCAGAAGCCTTCATAAATAGCCAAGCACTAACATGAAGTTATATGATTAATCCAAGACAGCATGGGATGTCTAAAGTATCACTCTATGTAACTATACAATGTAAGTTATGCTGCAGTGAGCTCATAATTTGAGTAAACTGAAGCCGCCTTTTCCATTTTAGGAAGTAAAATGATCAGTTCTGTTGAATCTTTAAATTCCAACTATTAACTCTGAAACCATACTTGAAATTCCACAATGTTCTTCATATCCATGGACCAGGTTCCAGATTCTTATTTTATGGTCTGTATTAAAGTACAAAATAGTATTTCACCAAGCTACCTGAACATCATTTTGTAGAAGGAAAAGAAAGAACCATAGTGCTCCCAGGACTTGGGGATAGCTTGGTGGAGAAAATTTGCATTTCTTGTCAAAAGATCAGTGTTTTGAAAACATTCTCTTCTAGATGATAAAATGCTTCATGGGATTTGAGAAATATGTATGGAGGGAATATTTCAGTTTGTAAGAAATAGTTGGGTAGTCTGGTAGTGTTGTAAGCAATTTAACATAAACCAAGATCCCAGGAAGCAAAAATTTAATAACAACTATCTACAATACACCAAAAGGCCGCTATCACAACTTTCCAGCAATCAGATGTTTTTCCTCCAGTTAACCCTCAATCTTAGAGATCAAAGTTCACTTTTTTCCCATTGTGGAACCTGCACTGGTAATACTGCTCAAGGCACCATAATCTACTGCTCTCTACGCCAAACTGCTCCATAAAAGGAAGATGGATACAAAATCAACTGTATCCATTATATATGTTACGTCAATGCAGCAAATTATGTTCTGGATCATGCTAAAAGACTTACAGTGATTAATCTAACAATGTGAGTAAAGCTAGACTGTTTATATTAAGCTAAAGCCAACACCTGGAGTCATCAACATGCATCTATAAGAAATTCCAGGCAACAATGGATAGTACCTAACAAAGGCTAACCCGTTAAATATTAAAAATTTACAGGGAAAAAAAAAAGGAGACAGATAAAAAAACCAGAAACGTTATTTATAATGCTAAACGGCAAAATGAAGCAAAACCTGGAAATGGAAGCTAAAGCTATAAAGCCTAGACAACATCACTAATGAGGAAAAGAAGCAGGACAAACCGTCTTTCTGGTAGGTACTTGATTCGCTTGACTTGTACTTGGAATGGAAATGGCAAGGATTTTCCTGAAAATTTGCATCAGTCAAGTATTTAAGTGGTCCAGAAACAATTCATCTAGTTTCCTTTTTATGGATAACATGGGCATAAAGTATCCTACCAAGACAAAGCACTTAGATTTAGATGATGGTATCCACAAATTAGAGCTTCCAGTGTCAAACATTACAGTGAATTTTTGTGGGGGAGTGCCAATACCAATCTCACCAAGGTACTGAACATCCATATAATTCTTCAGTGCTACAATGACAACATCCCAGATTCCCTTGTTTGCACGAAGATTATACTTCTTAATGGAAGCTCTAAGAGCCCCCCCTTCCTTCGACTCAAGCCGCGCAGCAAGGCTGTTATTTGGATTAAACTTCATCTTTTTCAGGCCTATTCTAACCAAGCCATCATTGGATGCAGAAAATGCCAGAGGAAACAGCAGTGATGAAAGAAACAAAGATACAAGAACAGCTTTCAATCCAGTTCCCATACGGACCTAAGAAACAATATCCCCATGTTAGTTCCAGGGAGGAGATGAAACCATAGTTACCAGGAACGCGGTACGTTCGGGTTCGTGGAACGTGTGTGAGGTCATGAAACATTACTTGATTAAAATTTAATCAGTATGTTATATGACACGCTTAAACTTTTTTCATAGTTATCAAGAATATGGTACATTCAAGTTCATGGTACACGTGTGAAATCATGAAATATTACTTATTTAATCGGTATATTATATGACACACTTAAACTTTTTTTCACATAAAACATGCTATATTAAATATATAGTGTATATTTAATTATAATTTTTAATTTAAATTATTTTGTTTTGTTATTTTATTTTTTATGTATTATAGTGAATATAAAATGTACGTTTAATTATAATTTTCAACTTAAGTTATTTTATTTTATTATTTTACTCTTTCAGATACTTTTAATCAATACACTTAAAATTAATAAATATAAAAAATTTTGAATCATATTAAATTTAAAACTACAGTTATATAATTGTTAAAAAAGATAATATAAATTACTAAAAAAAGGGGTGGTGATGTGTTTTCAATTGTAGATGATTATAAATTTAAAAGAAATAAAAAATAAAAATGAAGAGGTGTCAAGAGTTTTGAGCCACAAAACAATAACACCTGAGTAGTTTAATTACAATAAGAAGGGGGACTCAACTGAAAATCATGAAACTTAGGGGTACTGATTTGAAAGGAAATAAAAAGAAGGGCTTGAAGCAGTTTAGATAGTCATTTTTTCTCTTTTCTTTTCTTTCTTTTTTTTATTTTTTTCTCTTCTTCTCCCCATACGCCTCTCCCCCTTCCAAATTCTTCTTCCCCTTTTTCTTAGAACTATAAATATGTCAGATTTGAATCAAATTAAGATAATCCGAATCCGAATTTGATTACAAATATATATAACCAAATTTAAACTTAAAATCTTATAGAATCTATACTTATCATTATTATGTCCAAATCCGATAAAATTCGAATAAAAAATAAGATCAAAATAATATTAATAATAAGCAAAATCAAATAGCTAATAAGTAAAAGACATGTAAAATCAAATAAATTATTATTTATGAATGATAAAAATTCATGTAATATTTATGTTTAATTATTTTAATTTTATTGAAATATAAATAAAATTCAGAAATAAGTTGCTATTTATGAATAATTAAGAAAAACTTTTGTTATATAATATATTGCAAAAGTTATGATATGACTGCAGTATTTTATAAAATTATCAAATTTTATTTGTATTATAGTTAGAATTTTAAAAATTTTGTAATCAATTTATTCAAGTGATTCTTAAAATTTTCAAAAGTAATTAATTGTTAAATATAATGCCTAATAGAAAAATTAAAATGAGATAAAGTCGAAAAATATTCTAGAATACTTTAGAAAAAATATGCATTATTCTACTAAATAAAAATGCCTCATAAATACAAATTAGTGCATTATTAATTATAATGTCACATATATTACATTATATATAAAAGCATTTATTAATATATATAATTATTAATTAAATATAAAATATGATTAAAATATTTGAATTCAGATTTTTTATGAATCGGATTACTTAATTCTATATTTGGTCCACTTATTTCGGATTATGGAACTTTATAATCGAATTTAATCCATTTGACATTTTAATCGATTAAAGAACTTAAAATTTGAATTAAATTCAGATTAAATTCGACCCATTAACAGTGCTACCTTTTCTATTTTCCCTTTCATTCTCTACACATACCATAGCGATTGCTGTTACACCTCTACAATAGATCAGATCTTCGTCCTTCTTCGTTGCTTTTCCTCTATTTCATAGTTGATCTCTTCTTGCGACAACTAATCAGTATTGCTGTTTATGGATTGAAATAGGAAAACTGGGGAAGCCAGGGCCTCCCTTGTAGAGAGAGAAAGTGAAGAAGGAGAAGAAAAACAGAGCGTAGTCAATGAGTTTATAGAGAAAGTGAAAAAGAAGGTTTGCGTATTAGAAAGTATCTTGAGACAAATTGGAATCAAAATGTACGTGATCTGAAGCACACATCCCAGATCACGGTTCAAGGGAGTATTGAGTGAATTTGGTAACGATGGATGAAACAACTGGGCAATATTGCCCTCCCCCAACATCAAAATTAACAAGGAAAAGCAAATAGCTGACATAAACAGATTGTGTATTCATAGGATGGGTAATGCCATACATCGTAAGAAAATTAAGAGTTAGATAAAATATAGGCAAATAACCCAATCTCCCAGCAGATTGATCGACAAATTTCCCCCTTTCCAACTCAAAGTATGACCTAACCTGCTTCATTAGGTGAACAGTGCATTTCATTTTCCTTGGACGAAACAGGACCCTAATAGTATTTTCCCGTAAAGGGTTTTCGATTTTCCATGACCATCAATTATACCTGAGCTTTGCAGCACAGCTGTCACCGTGGTATTGGTGACTTGACACTAAATTAACAGAAGTCAACCAACTAGCATCCTTTAACAGTGTTTCACCTTGCTCAATGTACGTGGGCAATGAAAAGTTCCCTGTGCATTTATCTTAACACTAGATGCAGCTCAAAACCCTAACATACGGTTGGTAATCAAACTACAACCATGGTCGGTGCAGTAAAGATGAGAACACAATGATTCAGGGTGATCAGATAATTAAACTAAGAACCCTCATTCCCATCCCAAGCAAAGGCGAAACTCAAAAAATAACTAGGAAAAGTAAACACCACGTGCCTGATAATCATATTCCAATAAAAAAAAAAAAAAGGAAAAAACCTCCGCGGAGCAGAGCTACACACTCAAGGCACTAATCAATCAAATCACGGAACATTTGGATTAAATATAGGCGTGGACTATCTACGCAGAGGAGGAGCGTTTATAGTTTTTAAAAATATTATACTGAATTGAATATATTAAAAGTTAAAATTTTAAAAAAAAAATTATAAATTTTAATATTAAATAATATTATACTAAATATTTTAATATAATTTTAATTTTATAATTCAAAATTAACAAAAAAAACTGTACTAAATTAAATATTATATATAATAATTTATTAAATTATTTATATTATATAAAAAATAATTAAATTTTAAAGTATTAATTATAATTTAATAGTAAACTAAAAAAATTAAAAAGATAAGAATTTTTATAAAAAAGTATAAATATTATGGATTAAAGTGTAAAAAAATTCTAATATATACTTATATTAATTTATTAATTTATACATTTATTAAAGAATGAGATTATTCTTTTTATTTTTTCTTTTATTATCAAATTTATGTTATAATATAGTAAATTACTTACCAATTTATCATTTAATTTAAGTTTCACAAACTACCTAACATATAAGAAGTTCTAACTAAAAAAAGAAGTTCTTAATTACAATTTTTTATTATAAATAAATAAAAAGCTACACTTAATAGATCTAAAAAATAGTTTTAGAAAAAAA